AGCAGCATTTGTTGAAAAGATTGTCCTTTCTCTGTTGAATTGCCTTTGCTCCCTTGTCAAAAAGATTAGTTCACTGGATTTGTGTGGGTCTCTCTATTTCGTTATATTGATCTGTTTTTCTGTCCTTTTGCTAATAACCTCACTGCTTGATTACCATAGATTTATAGTGAATCTTGAAGTCAGGTGCTATCAGTCTTCCAACTTTGTTTTTCTTTTTCAATATTGTGTTGACTACTTTGAGTCTTTTGCCTCTTTGCATAAACTTTAGAGTAAGTTTATTGATATGCACAAAATAACGCTGCGATTTTGATTGGAATTGCATCTATCACATTAGGAAGAACTGATAATATTGAGTCTTCCTCTCCGTGAACATGGAATATCTTTCTGTTTATTTAATTCTTTGTTTTCTTTCATCAGCGTTTTGTAGTTTTCAAGCAGATCTTGAAAGGGCCCTTTTGTTAGACATACCCATTTTGGTTTTTTTAGTGCTAATGTAAATAGCATTGTGTTTTTAATTTCAAATTCCAATTATTTGTTGCTGGTATATAGGAAAGGAATTGACTTTTATATATTAGGCTTGTGTCCTGCAGCCTCACTATAGTTGCTTATTAGTTGCAGGAGTTTTAGTGCTTATTCTTTGAGATTTTCTGCCTACACAATCATGTCTTCTGCAAACAAAGGTAGTTTTATTTCTTTCCTCTCAGTCCTTAAACCTTTTATTTATTTGTTTATTTTCTTGTCTTATGCATTAGCTTAGGAGACCCAGTATGATCTTTCATAGGAGTTGTGAGGGGACATCTTTCCCTTATTTCCAATCTTAGGGGGAAATCATTTATTTTCTCACCATTAAGTGTGGTGTTAGCTGTAAGTTTTTTGTTGATATTCTTTATCCAATTGGGACAATTCCTCTCTATTCCTACTTTCCTTGGAGTTTTTATCATGACTGGGAGTTGGGTTTTGTCAGACGCTTTTTCTGCATCTGTTGATAGGGTCGTAGGATTTTTCTTCTCTGTCTTGTCGATGTGAGTGTCTGGCTGCTTTTGCTCAATATCATTTTGTTGTTGCTTGTAGCCATGGTTTGCTCTTCATTCCTATTAATGACTACAGCACAATTATTCATTCATTCTACTGTTGACATAGACATTTATGCTGTTTCCCATTTGGGGCTGTTATGAATAATGCTGCTGTGAGCAGTCCTGTTCATGTATTTGGGGGCTCATACACATTCTTTCATATTAGGAGAGAAATTGTGAGATCATATGTAGGGTATGCATATGTCCCACTTGAAAAGATAGTGCCAAACTTTTAAAAATGTTCTGATAGTTTACAACACTAGCTCATGAAGTTTCTAG